TAAATGGTCTCAGAGAACAGAGGATTATTTTCAAGGCTTGAGGGCTCGTGTAATGTGTTCTGCTGACTTGCTTGGTGCCTGTTAACCCTTCTTTCCCTCAATTTCTCCCATTTGTAATGGAAATGTCTACCTTGTGCCTGTTCCACTATTGTACTTGGGAAGCAGATAACTTGTATTCTAGATTTCACAGATGAAAAGGAATTTTTGGATTTGGGACTTGGAGTTGATTTAAGAATTTGTTATGATATGATAGGGTGAATGTGCTTTACGTGTGGCAAGGACATGAATTTTGGGGGGTCAAAGGTGGAATGTCGTGGATTGAATTGTGTCCCCCCAAAATGTGTGTCAGCTTGGCTAGGCCACGACTCCGAGTATTGTGTGATTGTCCACCATTTTGTCATCTGATGTGATTTTCTTGTGTTATAAATCCTGCCTCTATGATGTCAATGAGGTGGGATTAGCAGCAGTTATGTTAATGAGGCAGGACTCAATCTAAGATTAGGTTGTGTTTTTAGTCAATCTCTTTTGAGATGTAAGAGAGAGAAGCAAGCAGAGAGACAGGGGGACCTCCTACCACCAAGAAACAAGAGCCAAGAGAATAGCTCATCCTTTGGACCCAGGGTCCCTGTGCTGAGAAGCTCCTCGACAAAGGAAGACTGATGACAGGAACATTCCCCCAGAGTTGACAGAGAGTGAAAGCCTTCCCTTGAAGCTGGCACCCTAAATTTGGACTTCTAGCCTCCTAAACTGTGAGAGAATAAATTTCTCTTTGTTAAAGCCATCCACTTGTGGTATTTCTGTTATAGCAGCACTAGATAACTAAGACAATGTCCTTAATTATGTTGAGGAATTCCCATTCTATTCCTATTTTGCTGAGAGTTTTTATCAGGAATGTGTGTTGAACTTTATCAAATGCCTTATCTACATTGATTGAGATGATTTTGTGATTCTTTTCCTCTGTTTTGTTTACGTGGCGAATTATGTTTATTGATTTTTTAAATGTTGAACCATCCTTGCATATCTGGTATGAATCCTGCTTGGTCATGATGTATTATTTTTTTGATATGCTATTGGATTTTATTGGCTAGAATTTTGCTGAGAATTTTTGCATCAATGTTCATGGGAGATATTGGCCTACAATTTTCTTTTTTTTTGTGATTTCTTTGCCTGGCTTTGGTAACAGGGTTCTGCTGGCTTTATAGAATGAATTTGGGAGTATTCTCTCCTTTTCTATGTTCCGGAATAGTTTGAGTAGTATTGGTGTCAATTCTTTTCTGAAGGTATACGTCTCCAGTGAAACCATCTGGACCATGGCTTTTTATTGTTGGTAGTTTTTTATGATCTCTTCGGTCGCTTCTTTTGTTATGGGCTTCTTCAGATTTTCTTCCTCAGTTGTGTTAGTTTAGGTAGGTAGTGTGTTTCTAGGAATTTGTCCATTTCCTCTAAGTTTTCAAATTTGTTGGAGTGTAATTTTTCGTAGTACTCTGTTATGATCTTTTTAAATTTCACTTGGTTCTGTTGTCGCCCATCTTATTTCTTATTTGGGTTATTTGCATCTTGTACTTTTTTTATTTTGTCAGTTTGGCCAGTGGTTTACTGATTCTATTGATACTTTCAAAGAACCAGTTTCTGGTCTTACTGACATTTCAATTATTTTCCTGTTTTGTTTTTGTTTTTTTTCCATTTATGCTCTAATCTTTGTTAATTATTTTTTTCTGGTATCTATGGGCCTCTTTTGATGCTCTTTTTCTATTTTTTGAGTTGTAGCATTAAGATATTGATTTTGGCCCCTTTTGTTTTTTGATGTGTGCATTTATTGCTATAAATTGGCATCTGAGTATTGCTTTTGGTGTATCCCAAAGGTTTTGGTATGATGTATTTTCATTGTCATTTGAGTCTAGGAATTTTTTTAATTTCATTTTTCATTTGTTCTGTTACCCAGTGGTTTTTAAGCATGGTATTGTTCAGTTTCCAACTATTTGATTTTTTTTCCTTATTCTTCCTGTTGCTGATTTCTAATTTTACAGTGTTGTGATTTGAGAAGATGTTTTGTATTATTTTGTTATTTTGTAACTTATTGAGGCTTGCTTTGTGGCCTAAGATATGGTCTATTCTAGAGACTGATCCATGTGCTCTGGAGAAGAATGTACACTGCACTGGTGTTGTGTGGAGTGTTCTGTACATGTGTATGAGGTCAAGTTGGTTGATTGTGTTATTTCCATTTTCTGTATCTTTGCTGAGTTTCTTTCTAGTTGTTTTGTCCCTTGTCGAAAGTTGTGTGATAAAGTCTTCTATTACTGCAGAATTCTGTTTCTCTTCTCATTTCTGTTAGGATTTGTTTTATGTATTTTGGAGCTCTGTCATTGGGTCCATAGATATTTATTATGGTTATGTCCTCTAGGTGGAATCATCCCTTAATCATTATATAATGTCCTTCCTTGTGTCTTATGATGGAGTTTGATTTAAATTCTATTTTATCAGAGATTAATATTGCCACTCCTACTTTTTTTTGGTCACTGTTTGCTTGATATATTTTTTTCTGTCCTTTGATTTTTAACCTGTTTATGTCTTTGTGTCTAAGGTATGTCTCTTGTAGGCAACATATTAATGGGTTGTGTTTTTTAATCCATTCTGCCACTTTCTGTCTCTTTACTGGTGCATTTAACTCATTTACATTCAGTGTGATTGTTGATAGGTTTGAAATTACTGCTGTCATTTTGTTTTGCTTTTTTTTGTGATGTGGACAGTTTCTTTGTTTTGCTTAATTTCCTTTGCTGTGTTCTTTTTGTTATTGTATTGTCTTTCATTTCCTTCATTTTTGTCAATTTTTTGTTTACTGAGTATTTTTTTATTTTCTTCTTTATTTTGGTGGGTAGGTTTGTTAATTTTTTGTGGTTACTGTGAGGTTTACCTTTATCATTCTATGTTTAAAACATTCTGTCATTTTTAGATACCGTCTGGACCTCTTCTCCATAGGGAAGTTCTGTAACTACAATATTCATTCCCCCTTTTTGTTTTGAAGTTGTCGTGGATTTCAGATTGACATCTCCAGTTCCCTGTTTTCAGTTCTGTAGCTTTATTTTACTTTTCAGATTTCTCTACATAGGTTGGCATCTTGGTGTTGCCATCATGTGCCTTGCTCTTAAGTTGTCTGCTGTTGTTGGTTCTCTATCCTAAGGACTCTAATACTTCTTTTAAGGATGGTCTGGTTTTTAAAAATTCCCCTTGTATCTGTTTATCTGGAAATGTCCTAAATTCACAATCATATTTGAGACATAGTTTTGCTGGGTATATGATTCTTAGTCAGTAAATCTTTTCTTTCAGGGTTTTATATATATCATCCCTTTGTCTTCTTGCCTACATGGTCTCTGCTGAGAAATCAGAGCTCAGTCTTACTGGAGTCCCTTTGTAGATGATATTTCATTTTTCACAAGCTGCTCTCAGAATTCTTTCTTTATCTTTGGACTTGAAAATTTTGATTATGATATGTCTTGGAGACTTTCTTTTGAGGTCTATCCCGTATGGGGTTCATTGAGCTTCTCGTCTTTCATGATATTGGGGAAATTGTCTTCCAGCAAATCTTCAAAAAAATTTTCTGTGCTTTTTTTCTTCTCTTCCTGTTCTGAGTTTGCCTTCACATGTAAATTATTCCTCTTCATAATGTCCCACATAAGTCTTAGGCTTTTTTCTTTTTTCATTATTTTTTTTTATTGCTCCTGAAACAAATTAGTATCAAGGGATTTGTCCTTTATTTCACTAATTCTTTCTTTCCTTGTTTCCATTCTACTTGTACGTCCTTCTATTGAGTTACCTATTTCTGATATTGTATTGTTAATCTTCTGGATTTCTAGTTGCTGTTTTTGTATGATTTCTAATTGTCTAGTTTGTCATTTTGTTCTTGTATTGTTTTCCGGAATTCTTCTAGGGTTTTTTCTGTGTTTTCCTTGATCTCTTTGAGAACCCTAGTATAAGCCTTTTGAATTCCTTATCAGGCAGTTCCATTACCATCTCTTCCTCAGGAAGATTTTCTGCCCCTTTATTTTGGTCATTTGGTTGAGCCATCGTATTTGTTTATATGATTTGATATTGTCTGCTGTCTCCAAGGCATTAAGGTGTTGTTTTATTTATGATTGTTTTGTTTTATTTTGCTTTGGTTTGATTTGTCAGTGCATGTACTTTGGGTGTGCTTCAGTGATCGCTAGTCTGGTGACACAGGGAGGTTCACTTCCTGCCCCCAGGTGAACGGGGAAATGGCGGGCAGAGCAAGACCTCATTGCAGTTCATTTTATTTGTGACATAACTGAGGACATACTGGGTGGGTGCTATCTGGTGGTATGAAAACTCTCACAGTTGCTCACCAGGTAAGTGGGTGACAGGAAAGTAGCAAGGCGGGTGTCTGGGTGATGCTGAGGCACTCCCTCCATCAGGGGGGTGGTGCAGTCAGCCGGGGGACATGTAGGCACTCTCCCAGGTGTTGGAGGGGCTGGTCAGGCAGCTGGTGGTCATGCAGGTGCTCTCTTTCATGGGGGAGGTGCAGGGTGTATGGCTCAGGGGCACAGGTGCTTTCCCAGGAGGGGAAGGAGCCGGGCTTGCTGCTGGGAGGACGTGCAGATACTCTCCTGGGTGGGGGAAAGGCAAGGTGGGCTGCGGGGTACAAAGATGCTCTCTCCAGCTGGGGAGGGTTGGGACGGTTGGTCAGGGGCTGTGCAGGCCCTTTTTTGGTAGGATAGGGTCAGGGCAGGTGGCTAGGTGTCACACATATGCTCTCCTGGGAGGGGGAAGGACGGGGCAGGTGGCCAGGGGTCACGCAGATGCTGTCTCTGGGAGGGAAAGGGTGGGGTTGGTGGCACAAGGGTGCACAGGTGATCTCTCCAGTGAGGGAGGGGCGGGGTAGGTAACTGGGGAAGGAGGGGTGAAAGAAGAAAAGGGGCATTCATCTATTGTTCCATGCTCACCACTTGCCCTACCAGTCAGGTACCACTGCTGGAGAGTTGCTGTGTCTCTGGGTCCTGGCTCCATCTCTGCACTGTGTATGCTGGGATCCCTGAAGCTGTTGTCCTCCTTCCTGTACTTCCCTTTCCCAGTTCCAATTTATGGCCTACTCACGTTTCTTCACTGCAGGTATGTTGACACAGTTTCTCTGTCTCCTGTTGGGAGATCTATGATGTTGTCTTCCTGTGTTCCTCACCCAGGGTCACAGCTGGCTTTGTCTCAAAATGGCCCCACCGTGCCAGGCTGTCTTACAAGTCACCTCTACTCCATATCTCTCCACATTTGCTGCTGTCATTCGCTTTCTTTTTCCAACTGGTGTTTGATCTAATTCTATATCCTTTCATTTGATGCTTAGGGTTTCAGGGTTGTTATCTGTGTCTGTTTCACTTTGTTTCTCAGGTCTTTGCTGTAGAGGGACAGCATGATGTGTCTGATTAGGTCACCATTTTCAAACATTGGTTCTTGAGATCCCAACCAAAAGACGTCTGGGATGGAAAGATGAATATGATTTGTGTGTGGGGTTGTTGAACTGTGACCTCCTGGTGTGCTTCACCATATAAATCAAAGAGATAGTCCAATATAATTATAGGTGCCAGAACTTCTTATTTAGATAATAACATTTGATTCTATTTAATCATCTTTATTCTATTAAATCATCTTGTTTAGCATATTTTCCTTCTCTAGACTGAAAACTGTGAGGTATAAAGTTTATGTGATAGTGAAGACATTGGCAATTGCAGTTTGAAATAAAACAGACACTTTTATTGGTTGTAACAGCTGTTCTATTTTAAAATCACAAGGAAAGGAGGAGGGAGAAATACTAGCCCAGCAGAAATGTGGTTGTGAAGAGCAAAAAATCCTAGAAGCACATTCTGTCGTTAGAAAAGTCCTGGGAGTGTCTCAAGCATCAGCTAAGCAATCCCTGTAGTTCTCCTTGCTTCAGCAACATATATGGCAGTAGGATGTTGAGCAAGAACCTGGCTTGAGAGGCAGAACACCTGTGACTTAGAGTCAGTTCAGCCACCCTCAGTGGATAAGCTGGAACCAATCATTTAGCCTCACTGGCCTTGATTCACTCTCTAAAATGAGGGTAATAATTTTAAAGGTTGGTGGTTTGAACCCACCAAAAGTCACCTTGGAAGAAAAGCCTAATGATCTGTTTCTGAAAGGTCACAGCCTTGAAAACCCTATGGAGTTCTGTTCTACTCTGCACACGTGGAGTCACTATGAGTCAGAATTGACTTGATAGCAACTGGTTTAGTTTCTTTGTTTGTTTATTTTAATATCACCTTTTTGCATGGTTCAATTCTTTCTAGCATTTAGGTTTTAGCTCAAATGATCCCTCTTCTTCAGAGAAACATTACCATCTGAAATTTTTATATATATTTATATATTTAAATTTATTTAACGTGTTAACATCTCTCAACTTGAGATGCATTTAACAAGTGCTGGTGTCTTACAGGAAACGCTGGTGGTGTAGTGGTTAAAGAGCTATGGCTGCTAACTAAAAGGTTGGCAGTTCTAATCCACCAAGTGCTCCTTGGAAACTCTATGGGGAAGTTCTACTCTGTCCTATAGGGTCGCTATGAGTCAGAATCGACTTGACAGCAATGGGTTTGGGTTTTTTTTTGTTTTGGGTGTCTTACAATGGCAGTGAACTAGGCAACAGTTATGATGTAGTTGTCATCACTTTTGCAGGTGCAAAATTGGATGTTATTCCTGGTGGACCTCCTGGACATCTGCCCCTCCTCCCACGTTGACAATTCAGTCAACAAATGACACCAGATCCTGGATCTTGCATATCTAAGGGAGAAGACTCAAGTAATTTTTTAAAGATGTATATTTGCTTCAGGAAGATTGTTTGTCCTTAAGTAAATACCAACTTTCCTCACCAAAAAAGAGAAAGCACCATTTATTCTCTAGAGGGATTCTCTTGTGATACAAATCCCACATCAGGTATAACTGTGTCACTGTATTTTTTATCATGTAAATTCATGTATGAATTCTAAGCTTCAAATTTGTTTAAAAAATTTAATGTAGCATACTTACACATATGAATAATATATATCTTCCCCAAGAATTTATCAAGAATATGACAGAAAAATTGAGATTTTGATCTTCAAATTGTTTGGTTTCCAAAGTCTAAGATGCTTTATTGTTCTGTTTATCCTAAAAATGAAAAAGTAGTAAAACAATAAACAAAAATCTCATTGACAACTGACAGTGAATTGATTCTAGGGTTTTGTCTGAGTTATCTCTTGCTTCCATAACAGAAATGTAAGTGGATGGCTTTAACAAACAGAAATTTATTTTCTCACAGTCTAGGAGGCTAGAAGTCCAAATTCAGGGTGCTCTAGGGGATGGCTTTCTCTGTTGACTCTAGAGGAAGGCCCTTGTCTCTTTGAACTTCTGCTCCTGGGAGATCTTCATGTAGGTTGGCATCTCTCTTTGCCCATCTCTACCACTTAGCTTGCTTGTTTAATCTCTTTTATATCTCAAAAGACATTGACTCAAGATACACCCTAATTTTGCCTCATTAACATAACAAACATAACCTAATCCTCATTAACATAATCTAATCCTGCCTTGTTAATATACCAAACACAACCCATCTACAAATGGGATTATAATCCCAGGCAGAAGTTAGGATTTACAATACATCACAAAATGGAGGAAAAGTACATCAGATCACAAAATGGAGGACAATCACACAATACTGGAAATTATGGCCTCACCAAGTTAACACATATTTTGGAGGGACACAATTCAATTAATAACAGGTCTGAAACTTGTATTCCTCCAGAAATGAATCTTTTGGGGATTCAAACTTTATCTCACTATTGCTGCCAGTTACTCTGTCACTGACCAAATTTATTTCAAATCTTTCTCAAATGGAGCCAGTGGTTTCGTTTGTAAAGTATTTGCTTCCTAGCTATACATTTTATGGGGTCTATTTGCTTATATTAAATTCAGTAGCTAAGCCCTCTGTGTTCATTTAAAAAAAAACATTTCAGAAGCTTGTATGACTATTGCATCTTCATTTTACTGAAGACTCTAACTTTGCTTCTGGAAATGTAGAAAAATAGCTCTCAGCAAGCATATTCTCTTTAAAACTCAGCATTAAGTTTGTTTTGTTTAGTTCTGGATTTTTTGCTTCTCACCTCCCAGGCAGCAATTTTATGTCTCACTATCTTGATTTTGTTTCAGATAGAGATGAAGTAGAAAAGATCTCCTTTCAGTTTGTACCCCTTTTCCTAGTTTTTGAATCAGTTTTTCTTACTCTTGACTTATTTATGGAATGTATATTATGTGTAAAATATATATAATATTGATGAAAAATAGAAATTTGAACTTCATTTCTGCTTTTTCTGTTTGGCAGCCTCTTTTCCAGGAACTGAACTGACCCTTCTTTCTATTCCCTCCAACCTCACCTGCCCTACTCCCATGCTCAACTCCACACTATCTACTTGATCCAACCCTCTCGGCCATACTGATACATTCGGGCCACCTGAGTCAAAGTTGGACTTACCAGAATCCCTCTACAGACATTTGGAATTTGGACTAAGAAATTCCAGACATATTCTGACTAGATTTTGGAACAGAGGAGAACTAAAATTAAGATTAAACTATAAATAATACAAGACAATGCATCAAGATGAAAACTCAGAAGATGTCAGTGAATACGTTTAACCTTGTAAACCAGGATGAAGGCCAAGCCAGTCTGTAGTTAGGAAAAACAAACCATTTGCCCTTGAGTCAACTCCGAGTCATTGTGACCCCATTTGTGTCAGAGTAGAACTGTGCACCACAGGGTTTTCAATAGTTGATTTTTCAGAACTAGATCACCAGGCCTTTCTTCCAGAACATCTCTGGGTGGACTCAAGTCTCCAATCTTTCAGTTAGCAGCCAAGTGCATTAACTGTTTCCACCACCCAGGGACTCCCCAGTCTGTTATAAGACAGAAGAAAAAAGCAGATGCAGAGATAGGAGTAGAGTTGGGAGATATAGTGGGGAAGCATTCTGGCCTGGCTGCATCCTGCCTTTGGACCATTTAAATTTCCTCAGCTTCCTTTTTTTGTTTCAGCTAGTGAGAGATGGTTCTATTACTACTAATAAAAGAAAGATGTTAACTAATATGGTGTCTTTTATATGCAAATTTAGAGGCACTTCTCCTACTTTCTTAGTTGTTTCTGTTAGATGGTAATGACCATGAAAAGACATTCCTTGGGGAACTTTCCTTCCTGTTTTTCCCAGCTCATTTGTATATGTTGAGTAGCTTAATCTTCTTTTCTTTTATTCTTGCCAGAGCAGTGTTACATATCTTTCTGTGTCAGGAGGGGAAGGGATATGCACCAAAATCAGAAAAGGCTGAAATGATCTGGGACCTATACATTATCTAAATTAAATTCTTTTCCAGGACAAAACTCCTCAAAGTGGAGAAACTACTGGTGACCTCAAATTTAGAAGGTTGCAAATAATAAATGCCAAAGAAAAAGAATACCCATATTTAAAGTGGAATGGGGGTAGGTGGGAATAGTCAGGAGATCTCAAAAAATAAGTGGTCATGTTCTTGAATACTTTGTAAAATAATAATAATAACCAAAAGACAGAACTCTAAAATTGTAAGTTAAAAGTTACCCAAGAGCCAGAGCCAACGTGGTGCCCTAGACAGATGCACCATGCGGTCCGTCTGCAGCAAAGACCTGAAAAACTAAGTAAAACAGACACAAGTGTCAGTCCTGGAACCCTAAGCATCACATGAAGGGATAAAGAACTAGATCAAACACCAAATGGAAGAAGAAACTGACAAAAAACAAAGAATGAGGAGAGATGCAGAATGGAGGTCCCTTGCCAACTAACACAGCACAGAGTCGCCATCTTGGAGTACAGCCAGCAGTGACCCCAGGCAGAGAGTATGGGAAGGCAAATTCACGGAGCTCCCAACAGGAGACACAGCAACTGCTAGCCAGAAAAATACGCTTTTCCACCCCTCACCCTTGTAGTGAGTTGAAGCAAGAACCCCCTATTCCAGCAGGTCCCACTGCTGGGGTCCACAATGAGAGCCCCCATCCCCGGCTCGACTCGCCCTTCCCTCTCCCGTCACATGGGTTTTTTTTCTTCTCTTTTCTTTCTCCCTCCCATCTAGCCCCATAGACTATCTCCCCCACTTCCCACTGGCCCCTCCTGCACTGCCACAGCTAGAGAACCACTGGACTGCTGCTGTCCCCAGGTCCACCCCATTTCCCATCATGCTGCCATTTTGTTTGTTTTTCTTTTTTCCTTTTCTCCCTTCTCTTTCCCCCTGTCATGGTTTGAATTTTGTCCCCCCAAAAATGTGTGTATCAGTTTGGCTGGGCCATGATTCCCAGAATTATGTGGTTGGCCTCCATTTTGTGATTGTAATTTTATGTTAAAGAGGATTAGGGTGGGATTGTAACACCACCTTTACCCAGGTCACATCCCTGATCCAATGTAAAGGGAGTTTCCCTGGGGTGTGGCCTGCAACACCTTTTATCTCTCAAGAGATAAAAGGAAAGGGAAGCAAGCAGAGAGTTGGGGACCTCATACCATCAAGAAAGCAGTGCCAGGAGCAGAGTGTGTCCTTCAGACTAGGGTCCCTGCGCAGAGAAGCTCCTAGTCCGGGACAACACCGAAGAGAAGAAGGCCAACAGAGAGAAAAAGGCTTCCCCTGGAGCTGGCGCCTTGAATTTGGACTTTTAACCTACTTTAACTGTGAGGAAATAAATTTCTCTTTGTTAAAGCCATCCACTTGTGGTATTTCTGTTATAGCAGCACTGGATGACTAAGACACCCCCTCTCACCTAGCCCCATACACCACCTTCCCCACTTCCCGCTGGCCCCTGCCATGCCGCTGACACTTGAAAGCCACTGACCCATTGCAGCCCAGATCTGCCCCACCCTCACCTGCAGGCTCCTGCTGCACCACCATTTTTTCTCTTTATTTTCTCCTTCCCACCTAACCCGGCAGGTCACCTCCTCTACCTTCCCACAAGCCCCTGAGTCTGCCCTGCCCCCACTCACCAGCCCCCACTGTGCTGCCATTTTTTTTCTTTTTTCTCGTTCTTCCTTCCTCACGCCTAGCCTCTCACCCCTTCCCACCAGTCCTCACTGCACCACTGTGGCTAGAGAGCCATCTGAGCACTGGCCTACTGCTGCCCCAGGTCCACCCCACCCCCACAAGTCAGCCCCAATCATGCCATTTTTTTAAATTTTGTTTCTTTTCTTTCTCCCTCCCACCTAGCCCGCTATGTCACCTCCCCTCCCTTTCCACCAGCTCGCAGCTCCACCCTGCCCCCACTCACCAGCCCTCACTGTGCTGTTGTTTTTTTCTGTTTTTCTTTTCTCCTTTCTCCTACCTAGCCCCATACACTATCTTACCACTTCCCACCAGTCCCTACTGTACCAGTATGGCTAGAAAGTCACTGGCATGCCACCACTCCAGGTCCACTTTGCCCTCACCCACAAGCCCCTGCAGTGCCCCCATCTTTTCTCTTTCTCAGTACCACGTAACCCAATACTCCACCTTTCCCCTTCCCGCTGGCCCCTGCCATGCTGCCGTGGCTAGAGAGTAACTGGACCACCACCGCTTAGGGTCAGCCCCCCCCCCCCCCACAGGCCCCTGCAGCACCCTCATCTTTTTTCTTTCTCCCTCCCACCTTACCCAACAAATCACTTCACCTCCCTTCCTACCGGCCCCCAGGTCTGCCCCTCCTGCACTTACCAGCCTTCACCATGCTGCCATTTTTTTCCCATTTTTAATTTTTTTCTCTCTTCCTTTTCGTCCTCCCGCCTAGCCCCATATGCAACCTCCCACCCCTTCCTGCCAGTCCATGGGTCCACCCCACCCCTACCCACCAGCTACAGC